GCCCAGGGGGACAGCTTGAGGCTCTGTCTCAAAAAAAAAAAAAAAAAAAAAAAAGATAGACTGCCTAAAGGCTCAAGACCAGCCAGTTTTTAAGTAGGGGTTTCTACAATGTAAAAGCCTGCCCTCTCTAGAAAAGAAATGTAGTAACTGAGGATTAAAGGGGGTGGGGTGGGGGTGGCATATGGGTGGGGGTAGTGATGAAGAACAATGATCTTTCAAATTCATTCCAAAACAAAACCACATATATACTTTGGCACTCCACTTTATTTTCCTAAATGAAAGAAACTAATTAATAGGCATTTATAATGTGCCAGGAACTTTACAAGACACCAACATTCTCTTATAGGCTGGGGAAGTATGATATGAATGAAGCAACCCAGGCCTTGAGCCAAAAAATTACCTGGGGTCCGTTGAGTTTCAAATCTGAAAATTTCTGTCTCTCAAGGTCAGCATCGCCCACAAACCGGCCGTTCTGAAACACAGCCCATAAGAAGAGAATTCATTTTGTGGCCTTCCTTTGCTCTATCAAACATAAATGATCTTTTTTCCAAACAGGAAAAGGGCTTTCAAGAAGATATTTGTGGCCTGGAGTCCTGTGTCAGTACTCATAAAACAACCACATCACTTCTTAGCACTTTCCTCAAAATTGGAATCAGGACTGGAACTCTGGCAAACTGGGTCTCTGCAACATAAGAACGTAAGCTCCATGAGGACAGAGAGTTTGTTTTTTTGTTTTGTTTTGTTGTTGCTTTTTTTGTTTGTTTGGTTTTTTTGGTCAGTCTTGTTTAATGATGTATCCTAGTGCCTTGAATGGTACCTGGCACATAATAGGCAGCCAAAAACTACTTGCTGAATAAATAGCAAAGGCTTAGATAAGCTCCCCTACACTCAACCTTTCTGGAATACCATTAAAAATACAAGGAAAGTTGGTCAGGCTAAAGTGGGGAATTTCCAAAAGCCTTCTTTATTGGTCCATGAGTCTTCATGCTCTATTACAACTGGAAACTCCCATTCCAAGCAGCATTTTAAGGAAAGAAGCAAGACATATGAGTCTTCCTTTCCAAACACAAAGAAACAAGTACCACAAGTCCCCTCATAAAAACAGAAGTCTCAACATTGTCATCACCAATTATTAGAGGCACAGAATACATTACAAAATATCATTCTTAAGGTGCTCTGTCTAAAGCAGCAGGAAATAATCTAATGACATTATACCACATAAAAATACATTTGCCTGCTCCTCTTCTGATAGAACACAGTGAGATCCAGCCACCTTGGGAGACTCTTCCCCCACCCCAACCCCATTACATAGAGAATGTAACACTGTAAGGAGAGGAAGTTAAACATTACTTTCAGGAAGAAGGAAGGGTGTGGTTTCATTGCTGGGCAGAAGTTAAAAATAAAAAAGAAACCACTTACTAAATCCTGTAATTCCCCACCACCACCTCCAAGCCTGATCAGTCTTGCTTTTCCCTTTTTATATCTCTCTGATAATATATCAATATTTTGATAGGGATACATACCTACAGATATACAGAATTTATCTATCTATCTCATGTATCATCTTCAACCTAAAAATCCTAGGAATATTCCAAACATATAGCCTCCTTCAAATTCCTGATTATCCTGAAATTGGAATTCTGTTCCCTTAGGGAGTCTGAACTGGAGCTGAGAGCACAAGATGCTCAACCACTAAGCAGGCATTCTCTTATCTGCATTTCTGCTACCTCTCACCCAACTGCAAGGCTCCTCAGCATGAGGAACTTTCTCTATCTTAAAAATTAACCTATCCACAAAAAAGACCATCATGACATGAACACTGCTCTGGTTTCCACCCAGAGACCTAAAGATGTTGTCTATCAGTCAGGCAATACCTACCACACACATGCCCACAACACTCTCGCATGTGTGAGCGCACACACATACAGATAAAACCTCAGACAGATTACATCATGGCAAAGTCAGGCTAGAAAAACCAGAGGAAACACAAGATCCTTCTCATTTCTAACACCAAATTTCTCAAGTCACATCAGAGAGGCAGCCAACCCAGAGACCACTGGCTCCTGTGGTTATTTGGGTTAAACAGCATGAATCTCCCTGTCCAACTCTAACCAATAGAATTAACAATGACCCCTTCCTCTAAAACATGACTAACACAGCCAAGAAAAAGAGCACACAAGGACAATATGGAGCAGGAATATACAACGTACGGACACTGCCACACCTTCTCAGGACAGACCATTCCATTAGGGAGTCTGAGCTGGACCTGAGAGCACAAGGTGCCCAGTCATTAATCAGGCATTTACTTCTCTGTATTTTTAATACCCCCCCCCCAAAAAAAATCAGAGAAAACATAAGTTACCTGAATACAGCTCCAAACTACACTACCTACCATTACTAGAATTGAATCCCAACACAGAAAATAGACTCCAATAAAAGAAGTCATCAGGCAGATGCTTCCAGAAATTAAGTCCACCCAACACAGTACCAATATTCTTTAACTCTTATCAGTATTTACATGAACCACCCCTGAAAAGATTCACCATGAAGCACAGGCAGTTGAACAGCCCATCACCAAGAGGTGGGTAGCTTCCCAAGAAGAATCACAACCTCTCTGTGACCATGCCAAAGTCCTACCTGCAGGTCTGTTGGAGAGAGGGGTTACCTGATGCCGGCGGGTGAGAGTGCCGTTGGCCATCAGTGGGTTGGCATCTTGTGGTGAGACCCGGACGCGTTCCAGTTGCGCCGAGACGTGGCGCCGTTCCTCCTCCAGCGCCCGGGTCAGCTTCTCAAACTGGGCCTCTTGTTCCTTCACAGAGGCCAAGATGCTGGCGGTCGACTCCACCTCTGAGTCGTCCATGAAGGTAAAGGGCAGAGCCGCCGCAAGGCAGGGTAAAAAGGAAGGTGGACCACAGAGGGAGGAAGGAGGGAGAAGGCCCCCCTCACTTCACACTAGCGGGAAGGGTAAGAGAAAGGAGAGAAAAGGTCATAGGTCAGAGAAGACAGGTGAATTATTAATCCCAGAGCCAAGATGCCCTCTCATGGTTTTATTGCAGTACAGAAAGCAAGCCACCACCAAGCCAGGGAGCCCATCACCAGTGTCTCTGCTCAGTGTCCTTTGCCCAATACTCCCTTCTACTACCCACTAGAAGCAACTGTTGAAAGGAAAGGTTCAAATAGATTCATCTCTACACTGTTGGTAGAAAAGGGAGATTATGGCTAACTACTAAGTCATGACATCAAATTAAGGGTATTTTTCCCTAGAAAAATTTGCTTGTATGAACTCAACAAAAGCTGTAATTCCATGGTACAGACAAGCACTCACTGTCCTACAGGGCTAAGCCACTTCTAGAGATAATGGGGCAATATAGATCTTACTTAATCTCTCCCAATTGTAACACTGAAACTCCTGCAGTGGCAGCAAAATATACTAAATTAAATGCTAAATTAAAATGCAGGCCAGACACAGTGGCTCATGCCTGTAATCCCAGCACTCTGGGAGGCCAAGATGGGTTGATAACTTGAGCTTAGAGACCAGCCTGAGCAAAAGTGAGACCCCATCTCTAATAAAAATAGAAAAATTAGCCAGGCATTGTGTCAGATGATTGTAGGCCCAGCTGCCTTTTTTTTTCTTTTTTTAGAGACAGAGTCTCACTTTGTCGCCCTCAGTAGAATACTGTGGCGTCACAGCTCACAGCAACCTCCAACTCCTGGGCTTAGGAAATTCTCTTGCCTCAGCCTCCCAAGTAGCTGGGACTACAGACGCCAGCCACAATGCCTGGCTATTTTTGTTGCAGTTTGCCTGGGGCGGGGTTCCAATCTGTCACCCTCGTTATATGGGGCCGGTACCCTACCCACTGAGCCACAGGAGCCACCCATAGGCCAAGCTACTTGAGAGGCTGAGGCAAGAGGATTGTTTCAGCCTAAGAGTTTAAGGTTGCTATGGCACCTCCAGCCTGGGGCAACAGAGCAAGACCCTGTGTCAAAAAGAAAGAAAAGAAAAAGAAATGGAAGTAGTAAAAAAGTTCCCACCAAACGCAGGCAACAAAATTAAGGTCTCCATGTTTAATAATACGTTTACGAGGCCAGGCATAGTGGCTCACACCTATAATCCTAGCTCTCTGGGAAGCTGAGATAGGCGACTGCTTGAGCTCAGGGGTTCAATACCAGCCTAAGCAAAAGCAAGACCCTGTCTCCACTAAAAATAGAAAAACTGAGGCAAGAGGATCACTTGAGCCCAAGAGCTGGAGGTTGCTATGAGCTATGATGATGCCATGGCACTCTACCCAGGGCGAAAGCTTGAGACTCTGTCTCAAAAAAAAATAAATAATAATAATAACACATTTACCAAAGGGCCTTTCTACTTCCTAAAACTACACTAACAATATCAAGGGCAAACAGTATGCCTTGACTATCACAGACAAGAGAGCAACAGAAACACAAAAAGCTTGATGTGTAAAAAGGCACTATTTTCAAGAACCTTCACTTCTCTGGAATGTCAGAAAAGTAGTATTAGGCTCTAAGCATCAATGACTAGAACTTTCTATATTTTGTAATCCTACAGAATGCTCTAAATAATCTTTTTGCCCCTTTACTTGTTCCAACTCGAGGTAGATATCCAAGTCTATTTACAATAATAGATAGAAATGAAGAGGTTTTCATACCCCTATTATATAAACAGCAAGTTGGCTAGTAAACTAAGAGGCATTATAGTCATGCTGTTGGACTTAATAAAGTTTTCTCTTATAGCTATGGGAGATTTTATGGCCAATTCAAAGTATACAATGTTGAAATGCAGGTTTTAGAATAAATCTTCCCTATTTCCCACCCTCTCAACCCCCAAATAAAAAAGGCACTTAAAAGATTTTTTTATTCTTAACAAACCTGTTCCCATACACACCTGTTAAGAGAAGGTCGTAACTGATTTTTTTTTTTTAACACAGAGAACAGGCCAGTCTAGAGTCAAAAAATCATGGAAGAAGCATCCCAGCCACCACAGCAAGGAGGAAGCAGGAAGGACAGAGCTGCAGAAATATTTGGAGGAAAAATGGGAATGAGAGGATAATAAAATATACCCACTACATAAAAACAAGAGGAACAAGGGGCAATGTTAGGAATGAAAGGGAATAATTTAAAATATGACTTAGAATTGTTTAAGGTGACAAATGCCCTTTGGATTGTTGTGTTCAGATACCCAGACCTTGGAAGTAATTTTCATTAAAACTTAGATTCTGGGCCAGATGTGGTGGTTTATGCCCGTAATTCCAGCACTTGGGAGGCCAAGGCAGGTGGATTGCCTGAGTTCACAGGTTTGAAACCAGCCTGAGCCACAGTGAGACCTCATCTCTAAAAATAGCTGGGTGTTGCAGTGGGCACGTGTAGTCCTAGCTACTTGGGAGGCTGAGGCAAGGGGATCCCTTGAGCCCAAAAGTTTGAAATTGCTGAGAGTTATGATGCCATGGCACTCTACCAAGGGCAACAAACTGAGGCTGTGTCTCCAAAAAAAAAAAAAAAAAACAAACAATAAAAAAAACCTTGAATTCTGTTATCAGTGTTCCTATACTTGTACTTCCACACAGAATCAGTAACAGGTTATGATATAGATAAAAATCCACTTATGCCTTTTTCCAGCAACCAAATGGGGGGGGGGGGACTGCTATTGGAATGCCTACCCTTCCCCCTCCTTTCCCACCCCATCAGCAGAAACCTCAAAGCCCAGTCCCAGCATGCCCACAAAGACATTGAGAAACCAACTGCAATAGTCGCAGTGGGGAAAACATGTGGGGACTGGCCTAGGCAGAGCCTTCTGCTTCAGTTCCCTTTCCCACGCTCCCCAGAGTACCACTAAGCACAAACTCTTGGGCCTGTTTGCCTTAGAGTGTATGTGGCATTCAACAAGCAAGAATACTCAGAAGAAACTTATAAGCAGGTACCCAATAAACTCCTGAATTAATTCATTCCCTCAATTTAGAGAATGTAGTAGCCCTTCCCTAAATTCCTCCTACCCCAGCCCTGGGCTCACACATCACTTATCAACTCCTGGTCTACCTTTCAGTCCAAAGCCCATTGCCATTTCTCATGACCCCAACAAATCACTCAAAGGTCTTTCTTTAGTAAATATCCTATTTTAAAAAATAAAAAAAAAAAAAAAGGTGCTACCCTTCATTTTGATTTCTTCTTTTTAAGCCCTTGCCCTTATCCACTATGTAGAATGCCCTATGAACCTTCTACACCAAGAGGACTGTGAGTCTAAGAGAGATTTTTCCAGTTACTGAGCTTCAATAAGACCTGAACTGCAGTAACCACTTCAGCAATCTCTCTCTACCCTATAATCTTTGCTAATAAAAGCCCAAACTACCACTACCATGGGGCATATAGTGACAACATTCCATGCACTGGAGACAAAGTGTTTTTCACTCTACCACACATGGCTAACTTTTGCGCCCACAACTTAAATTCAATGGGGCAGATTAGAAAGGAAGGTAGAAATACCCAGGGCGATAGGTCAGAAAGCAGTATCTAGAGAAATAGCTTCCCCCATCTTTGTGGCTGTAAAGCTGACCACCTAGAGGACTTCCCACTTGGGTCTCCCCACTCTGCCAGAGGCTCTGGTGTCTTTCATTTCTTCTGTATTCCTTTCTATCTAACAAATCCTATCACCGAAAAAATAAATAAATAAAAGCTGACCACCTGGCCTATTTTGGAAAATACAGAACAATTAACTAGAAAGAGAAGATTAGAAACTTAGATCTAAAGCACAGGGAGATATGCTGCCCCAAAGAGGGCAGAAGCTGAAGGTGTATGAGATGGAAGACAACTGAGAAGACCAGTCCCAGTCCTGGCTCTGCCCCTAGCCAACAATGGCAGTATTTCCTTGCCCTGTTCTCATCTGTAAGATGCCAAACTCTAACTCAGAGTTGCTATGAGGATCAGGTGAGATAATGTATGTTATATAAATATGAGGTATTAAGTTGTTTCAAGAGTCAGTTTCTATCTTCCCATTATATTACTTCATGGTATGTCTTCAGCTGCAAACTATTTTGTAAACTAGTAGATGAAATTAACTGGATCAAGAACACAACTGGGTTCTACAGAGCAGATGAGCTGGTTTCCTACTCCAACTCTATTTACTAGGAGGTCCCACATAAACCATGTTTGTGGGATAAAAGGCACTTCTCTAGTGCCTGGCGATCATCACAGCATTACGTATCTACCGTAACTTCTTGATTCCTTAATTACCAACAAAGAAGGGAATATGAAATGAACTGACAATTACTGAATTTTTTTCTTTTTTTAGAGACAGAGTCTCACTTTTGGCCTCGGTTGAAGTGCTATGATGTCACAGCTCACAGCAATCTCCAACTCCTGGGCTTAGGCGATTTTCTTGCCTCAGCCTCAACCTCCCGAGTAACTGGGACCACAGGCACCCGCCACAACGCCCAGCTATTTTTTGTTGCAGTTTGGCTGGGGCCAGGTATGAACCAGACACCCTGGATATACTGGGCTGGTACTCTACTCACTGAGCCACAGGTACTGCCCAATTACAGAATTTTTTTTTTTTTTTAAAGAGACAGAGTCTCATTTGTCACCCTCAGTACAGTGATGTTACATCACAGCTCACAGCAACCTCCAGCTCTTGAGCTTAGGCGATTATCTTGCATCAGCCTCCCGAGTAGCTGGGACCATAGGCGCCCGCCACAATACCCGGCTATTTTTTGTTGCAGTTTGGCTGGGGCAGGGTTTGACCCAGACACCCTCGGTATATGGGGTCAGGGCCCTATTCACTGTGCCACAGGCGCCTGAATGTTTTAAATTTATTATCCTTTGCAACAACCCTAAGGAAGATTTATTACAAATAAGAAAACAAACTCATAGATGAAGAACTTGCCCAAGGTATCACGTAATAGCAAATTTTGAATTTTTTTTTTTTTTTGAGACAGAGCCTCAAGCTGTCCCCCCGGGTAGAATGCCGTGGCATCACAACTCACAGCAACCTCCAACTCCTAGGCTCAAGTGAGACTCCTGCCTCAGTCTCCCAAGTAGCTGGGACCACAGGCGTCTGCCTCAACGCTCAGCTATTGTTTTGGTTGTAGTCGTCATTGTTGTTTGGCGGTCCAGGCTGGATTCAAACCTGCCACCTTAGGTGTATGGGGCTGGTGCCTTAACCACTTAAGCCACATGCGCCGAGCCCAAATTTTGAATTTAAACCCAGGTCTATATCATTCCAAAGCATGCTATGCTGTTAAGTCCAAACAGAAGTGCAGTACAAGATGAATGGTCCAGCCCCTCTCTCCTGCAACCTTTGAGAACTTTCTTCCTATCACAAGAAAAAAAGGGAAAGAAAAGGTTTCCATTTTTCTCTGCATTATAGTTATCTATAGTGTCTATATATAAGTGAGAGAACAGGACAAAAAGTCTAAGGTAAAATGAAGCATTTGGTGGAGATTGGAGCTGTTAGGCAAGCTACAGTAAAAAGTCTCATAATTCAAGAGACTTGAGGAAATAAGTCTCCATGCCACACGCATCATAAAAAGATTATGCTATAGACCATTAACTAACTTTGGCAGATAGAGTCAGAAAAGTTTTGAATCCAGCCCAACATCTTTCCAGGATTGCCACTTAATATTTTCAAATAGATTATACTTGCTTTCACTCAAAAACAAATACATTTTTTAAAAGACCATCAAAGAATTCCCAAAGCAAGAAAAGGGTTACATAAAGTAAAACCAACTATTCCCTTAAGACTAGATTTTTTTTTAAATAGCTGGTTTTGCTGTTAACAAACCATAGGTCCTGTATCACTGGTTTTCACCTACACTAGAAAGATCTTCCTATTAACCTAAGTCTACAGCAAGGATCCCTCATTCAAGAAATGGCAATCATGAAAATTCAGTCCCTTCTGTAAAAGCTCCATAAGGAATTAAATCAAATACACAGAAGGACCAATTAGATGATGCCAAGTAGATAAGAGACTCCCCCAAAAAATCACTTACCAGTATTCTTTGGGATAATTTGTTCTACTGTAAACTGACTGTAGAAATATAACTTGGAATTATGATTCTTACTTAGGAGAGTACAGGGCTTAGAATGACTAGTTTCAAGTCCTACCATGTTTCCCCGAAAATAAGACACTGTCTTATATTTATTTTTTCTCAAGAAGACACACTAGGACTTATTTTCAGGGGATATCTTCTTTCTGTGCCAAAATGCATGGCATGCCTATACAGATACGCTGGATAGCCATGCCCATCACTAGGTCTTATTATCGGGGTAGGGCTTATATTTTAACAAATGCATAGAAATCCTGCTAGGGCTTACTTTGGGGGAAGGTCTTATTTTCAGGGAAACACGGTAGTTCTAGTTCTTATTAGCTATATGGCTTTGGGCAAAGTATTACTTAATCACTCTAAACCTGAGCATTCTTTTCCATAAAATGGAGAGGTGAAAATACATAGGGTGGTCTTCAGGATGAAATGAGACAATCCACGTGAAGTACTTAGTAACATGTCTTAACACGCAGAAAGCTATTAATATGGTTACAACTACAGGGGCCAGATAAGGCTTTGAATAAACCACAGACTCCCCACAATCCCCCCCCACTTTGCTCCCTTTTTCCATTTCCAGCAGCATTATAAACTATAGGAATTTTTTTTTTTTTTTGAGACAGTGTCACTACATTGCCCTCAGTAGAGTTCCATGGCATCACAGTTCACAGCAACCTCAAACTCTTGGGCTTAAGTGATTCTCTTGCCTCAGCCTCCCAAGTAGCTGGGACTACAGGCACCCACCACAATGCCCAGTTATTTTTTGTTGTAGCTGTCATTGTTGTTTAGCTGGCCAGGGCTGGGTTTGAACCCACCAGCCTCGGTGTATGTGGTTGATGCCATAACCACTGGGCTTACTAGAAGACAAAAGACCTAGGGTCAAGTCCTGGTTCTGCCAAAACCTAGGTAGGAGACCTTAGAGAAGATATAACCCCTACAAGCTTCAATTTCTATTACTCTTCATGGTTTAGTTATAAAGAGCTAATATATATAATACCACAGGCTGGGTGAACTCTAAAATTCACCAATCTTTGGGATCTTGGGAAAGAAATTTTATCTTCTGCATGCAGACAGTCCCAAAGGCAGCTATCCTCCTTTCTTCCTCATTATTCATTATAAAATCAAAACCAGTGTTATAAATGTTCTCCCTCTAAAAATGATAAAGAAAATTCTACTTCCATCTCATTCTAGGGATTTCAAATAG